TTTTTTTTTTTTTTTTTGTCTGTCACTACTTTTTCTCAGCTCACTGTACCAATTTTTCTCAACAATACGTCAAAAGATCACATATCGTATCTAGTTGGAGACATTACCCTTAAAAATTGACAAAATTTCCTTCTTTTTCCGTAAATGAGGGAAATCTCCAAAAAAATTACAATTTTATAAATCAGTAATATTTGACATTTTTTTTCTTAAAACTACCACAACTTTTTAAAAAATGAACAAATCAACATAATTTTTTTTGATATTGAAACCTTAGATATTTTCTTTCTTTTCATTTTTCATGAAAAATCATTTTTTTGAAAATTTAATACTTGACCTGCGCACAAATGTGACGAATGGTTGCTGAACTGGTAGCACTTGTATGTTTCACGCTTGGGGTACTAGGTTCATACCTGCCTTAGACAATGAATTTTTTATAAAAATATACAATTATTATTAATAGTAAATTTATTAAAAAAAAACCCAAATTTTCAATGAAACCACTAATTATATTTTGTATTATATCGTAATAAATAATTTCAATAGAAATACTAAACATCCCTATGTAACTTTTGATGTTTAAATAAATGCTATAATTGAAATAACCAGAACTGTATTCTGTGTAGTTATAACCTATATTTTTTAAATAATTAGTAATAATATCTAATATTAGTGGTGATAGAAAAAATCTAATTGCATATTTGAAATCAGCACAAAAAATTTATCAATAAAAGTATATTTATGACTCTGATGAAAATTACTTTGTAGATCATTTATTCATAATTAACAACAAATTAAATCTGAAATGTTTTATCAAGGCCTTCAATTTTTACATATGTTTAGCATAAAAATAACCACTTTATAATTTTTAATAATTTATCCGTAAAAATTACTATAAATTATTACTACTAAATTATTAATATCAATTTCATACTATATTTAATTTCTTTAATAGAAATTTAATCATATATTATACTTATAAATAACAAAACTACTAATTTGGAAATAGGACTTAATTTTTCTTTTAGAATAATCCACCAATTTCTTAAAATTAAATACTATCTACAGATTTGTATCAAAGTGTTTCTTATGATAGTGATTTTAATCACTGTCATCTATACTTGTTCAAATGTGCTACGTGCACACTGTGCTACCATTTTTTTACTTTTGAATAAAAATTGTTTTTTACTTAAAGGCTGATGCTCGTGGTATCAAACCTCCGAAACCTCCAGAAAAACCACTCATGCCTTACATGCGTTATAGTAGAAAAGTATGGGATCAAGTGAAAGCCAGTAATCCTGATTTAAAATTATGGGAAATCGGTAAAATTATTGGACAGATGTGGCGTGATCTACCAGATGAAAACAAGCAAGAGTATATTGATGATTATGAATCTGAAAAAGTAGTTTGAAAAAGAAATTCTATGCTAAAAGTTATAATTTGTGATACATTTAATGAAACTTCATTTCAGATTACATATGAAAAAGCAATGAAATTATATCATAATTCCCCAGCATATTTAGCATATTTACAAGCAAAAAATAAAGGCAAATTAAGTCAAGTTGAGGATAGAGAACCTCATGAAAGATCTTCCACTAGCAGTAAACAAGCTGCTGCAGATCGTAGGATTGAAATTCAACCAGCTGAAGATGAAGATGGTTTGTATCAATATTAACCTTTTTTTTTTTTTGAAATTATGTTTTATTTCTACTAAACTTAGTATGTGTCATTTATAATAAAATTATAACTAATAAAAAAAACCCTTCTTTTAGAATTAAATAAATTTCTTTATATTTAATTATAAATTATTAATTTAATTACAAGGGGGACATTTAATTTTTTTTTAATGTTAATAATTAATAATTTAGATCAAGATGATGGATTTAGTGTAAAGCATGTGGCTTACTCAAGATATCTTCGAAACCATAGACTCATCAATGAGATTTTTTCTGACAGTGTTGTTCCTGATGTACGTTCCGTTGTTACAACTGCAAGAATGCAAGTACTTAAAAGACAAGTACAAAGTTTAACCATGCATCAGGTTAATTAAGTTATTTTATTTTAAATATATTCTTATTGATTTTAATATTTATCTGTTTTTAGAAAAAGTTAGAGGCTGAATTGCAGCAAATTGAAGAAAAATTTGAAACAAAAAAAAGAAAATTTATTGAATGCAGTGATGTCTTTCAACAAGAATTAAAAAAAGTATTTTTAATATTTATTTAACCTGGAACCCATAAAAATTATTTAATTATAAGATACTAAGCTATTTCTTTTTTATACACTATTACAGATCATGTTTATTAAGTTTTATAATAACATTAAAAATTGAATCTTAAACAAATTGCTCAAATATTAAATTTGAATAGTTTGGGTAATGTTTAAATTTATGTTTACAGAATGCTCTATAATGATTTGACAAATCTAATAACTTGATCTACCACTTATTTTTTATTATTTGTTTTAATAATAAATAAATAAAAAAAATTTTAATTTTCCAATTATGCCATTTAAAGCATTTCTTATAAAATATTTTAATAGGTTAATAATAATATTAGGAAGAGTACTTATTGAGTAACAAGCATTTTAATACATGTAGCGTATATAGCGTAGGTAGAGAATTCACTATAAATGTACAAAAGTATGATTTGTATCCATCGGCACTACATAACTACTCTATGTATTTAATTACTTGTTATTTAATAAGTACTCGTCCCAAAGTTCTTTTTAGCCCTTTAAAATCTATTGTTAGCTTTATAAACANTAAGTACTCGTCCCAAAGTTCTTTTTAGCCCTTTAAAATCTATTGTTAGCTTTATAAACAGGTATTTTGAAATATTGGAAAAAATTTTATTTATTTTTTATATGAAAAACTAAAAATAAAAAATATTATTTTAATATAGTCTAAGAATGTATAAATTATTTAAAAAAAAAAAATAACGCAAAATATATGGTAGATCTGGCATATTGATGTTTAGTTATAGGATATATATTAAGTATTATAAACATTTACCTTTTAATAATTACTCATTGTAATCATTTAAAAAGTTAAATAGATTTTTATTAATTTAACCATAAATGATGTATAATGTTTTTCTAATTGTAATTCTTTTCTTATTTTTTTAAGCACTGTGTTCAAGCAGTTTCTGAAGAAGTTTTCCAGAAAATGGTAGAACGTCAAATAGAAATATTACAGAAAGAACGGATCAAAAGTCAATGTCCTCAACCTCCAACAAATGAAGAGTTCCCCAAAGTACATTGTGAACAGCAATTGGAACAAAATGGAGCTGTAGCTCCTATTGAAGGTGAACAACCTATTACAATTGTTCCTTCTAATACTACAGATGATAACTCAAATTCTGAAACAGAGGTAAGATAGATATTATTTGGTATAATAAAATAAAATTTTTAAAAAATTAATGAAGTTATTATATGAGAGCTTAATTATACTATTTTNAATACTACAGATGATAACTCAAATTCTGAAACAGAGGTAAGATAGATATTATTTGGTATAATAAAATAAAATTTTTAAAAAATGAATGAAGTTATTATATGAGAGCTTAATTATACTATTTTAAAAAAAAACGGTAGCACAGTAGGGACGTGGCATAGTTGGGTCAAGTTGAGATGATTTCTGACAGTGATTATAATATCATTAACGCTTTGATGCAAATCTGTAGATAGTGTTTAATTTTAAGAAATTGGTGGTTTATTCTAAAAGCAAAGAAAACTAAATTTTTGTTCTACTTCGACTCCCATTTGCACATAGAAAATAGGTCTTCAGTACAAATTTTTTTTTTTTGAAATACAAGTATCTAAAATAAGCTTTATTTTAACATATATTTAAAAGACACAGTATTCCCTAAACATTTTCAAGAATTAAGTTGAAAATGTTCTACTTTTAAACAAATTTTTATGATTTCAAAAATTCAAAAAAGCTTTTCTTAACTTTGATGAGGCAAAATAAGTATAAATTTATAATTAATGTAAGTTAGATTCATGTAAATTATATATTTATTGGTGGACTCATTACTATGGCAAACCCTTATAAGGTATTTTGAAATAAACAAAAAAAATTTGAATTTTAACACAAAAGTAACATATGGTTTAACTACGGCAGCCATTTGTACGTAAAAAATAGGACTTTGGTACAAATTTTTTTTTTTAATTTATAGTACGTAACATAAATTTTAATTTGACATATGTTTAAAAGATGCAGTATTTCTGAAACATTTTCAAAATTTAAGTTAAAAAAGTTGCTATTTTGAATCCCCTCTTGTGACATGTAAAGGGTCAGATTTTCAAAAATATTATATCAAATAAAAGGGAATTACTTAATATTTCAATATAAAATTTAATTATTTTGATTTGTTCATTTTTCAATTCAAGTTATGGGAATTTTTAGAAAAAATAATGAACGTGATGTCGACATTATTAATTTTAAAAAACGTCATTTTTTAAGAGATTTCCATCATTTGCGGGGAACAAAGGAAAAGTTTTTGATTTTTCAAGGTAATGTCTTAAACTAAATACGATTTGTGATGTTTTAACGGATCGTTGAGTAAAATCGGTCCAGTGATAGCTGAAAAAAAGTAGTGACAGACACAAAAAAATAAACATATCATGGTAAAATTAATACCTTCTCAGCTTTGCATCGAAGCTAAAAATATATATAATTAAGCTGCTAAATTAAAATAATTGAATTCAAACATAAGTTAAACTCTTTATATTTATTTATATTATGGATGTTGTTTAATTGATTAAAATAGTATTAACACTAAATCAACTATTTTAATAATTGTTATAGCCAATTCTAACAAAGAATGAAAATTTCAAGGATAATTTATCAGTTGCTAAAGAAAATGGAGAAATATCAACTTCATTACAACAAAAACCTTTACAACAATTGGAAACTCCACAACAAGATTCTACTGTTCAATCCAAACCTTCAAATTTGCAACAGACATCTATTCAATCCTCCACATTTCCACCCACACAATTATTGTCTCAAATGCATCCAGAACATCATTCAATTCAGCAAATACAGACTATTCAGCAATCTTTTCAACAACAGATCCCTGCTCAGCCATCACTACAGCAGCTTTCAATTAATCAAGTGTCACAAGTTCAACAACCTTCACAGCTACCTGATCACCTATCTCAACAACAGAGTTCTTTGCAGCAGCAAACACACCAATCAATTCAATCTTCAACTCAACAAATAGTTCAACAACCACCAACGCCACAATTAGTTCCGTCACCACAATCTCAACAACCACTACCACTACAACAACAAACTGTTCAGCAACAACCACCACCACCATCACAATCAGTCCAGCAACAACAATCACCACTACAATCAATTCAGCAACAACAT